CACACACACACACACACACACACACACACACACACACACACACACACACACACACACACACACACGCACACATACGCATGACTGTTGGTGCGGTTAAATGAGGGCGATGATGTTTCCACAATGACGATAGATCAAACCCAGCCGTATATAGGTTGTGGTTCGTTAGCAGGTGGAAAAAATAAAAATGGAAATGAACATCACGAGAGGGAGTGGTACGTATGGAAAAACGGGATTCCACTTTTCGGTGCACAGTATGTTTCGAACATTGAACGTGTATTTTTATTGTTGTGTTTGTGGTAGCAAGGCAGGAAAAAAACGAACGCCTTGGAAGGCCAAGTAGTAAGTCCATTGTGCGTGTAAAGCGTTTGGGAGTGTAGGTGTGAGGGCATTTCATATCTTGTAAAAGAGAGAGCGCAGATGACGGACGAGCGCATGGTGTGTGAATGCGGTCGACGTTTCATGTCATTAAGGACATTAAACTCTCATCGCGCGAGGGCATGTCCGTCGTCAATGAGTCGTCGATCAAACGATGACAACGGACAGAGTGGGGAGAACAGACCCGCAGGTGAGGACCGCTCGCCGGATGGCGAAGGCCAGGGTGTGAACATCATCGACCTATCAGGGAATGCGGAAATGGAATGTGGTTCCGAGGAAGATCCCCCTGACGTGCAGTCGTTCGACACATCCCGCAGACTGGTTGCGATCATGTTGTCCTCTAGGGGTGGCTTAGGGATGTCACTCAACGACATCGACGCTCTTCTGCCAGTACTGACAGATCCAAGATTCTCGCCGCAAGAAATCGTATACCGCAACAACCGTGACTTTTTACGTTGGACGAGCAGACAAGCAGAAACGAACAGGTGGCGGGAGATAAATCTCAGAAGTGATGACATGCCATCAAATGCACATGTCGTGCTCTGGTACCGAGATTGGCATACAACTTTCGTGTCACTACTCAAAGCAGCGACGAAAAAGATGGAAACGGTGTCGTGTCTCTCAGTCCCCCCCCCCGAGGCAGAACCCACAATAGACAGCGCTCGCTCAGGTGCGTTGTGGCATCACGTACAGACCGTCATCAGAGCGCACAAAGGTGTAGATAAGAATGGCAAAACACGGTATGTGGTGCCAATCTGTCTGTATTCTGACAAAACACATCTAGATGGACGGTAGAAACAGACGGCATATCCATTAATGATGTCAATAGGTGACCATCCAGATGACGCGACACTTCTTGCGTATCTTCCTGTCCTCCATCATCGCCCAGGAGACAAGGGATGGGGTTTGCAAAGCACCGCGTTCAGGCAACGCAAAGCCGTGATATTGCACTCATCATTGCCTGTGGTGTTGCAGGCTGCGAAGCATGTGTCGCATGATGACATTGTTTATGATGATTCGTGGTGGGGAGAGGTAACAGTGCACCCTTTCCTGCTGAATTATATTCAAGACTACCCTGAGAGGTGTGTCGTCGCAACGGTGAGATACGGTGTATGCGCGACGTGCACAGTGTCAAAATCTGATTTTGATGTCATTGCGGACTTTACTAACTGTCGTCGCTCACAAAGCATGGAACGTGCACTTCTGACGGAATTCCATTCGACAGACAACAACGATGTTTGTCGCATGAAGAAGACACAATTGTCGAACTTGAACATGCACACGCATGTGAAACAGAACGGGCTCTGGGGATTTTATAGGGGTCCTGAAGACGATGATCCTATGTTCGACTACCACCTGGCTTTGCAACCGGACCGCATGCACACCATCGAGCACGACATATTTTTGTACATGTTAGACGCTTTCAGAGCAGCTGCCTTTGACAAGTTAAGCCACGTCCCACAAAGCCATGTGTTGAAGGAGTTGGATGCGAGGTTTCACACGCTGAGCGAGAGAAGCAGTACTACGTATCCGCAACTTGTGCTACCTGTAGAAACAGGTAGCGACTACTTTTCACGGGAACGGCGTTTCGAAGCTAAGCAAAACCGGTCGGTTATGACAGTGTGCGTATTCATAGTGTCAAACATTATCCCTGGGTCGGTGGGGAAAAAAATAACATCTTGTTTCAAGAAACTGACGGAACTGTACATCTCAATGTTCCGGTGCACAAAGCATTCAAGCCATTCGCTTGACACATGTGACAATCTTATTACGGACTTCATAACAACCCTCAAACAGGTCATAGGTCATTATCAAACCTCCAACTGGAAACTGCCGAAGTTGCATGACCTTCTGCATTTGAGGGCGTGCATCGAACGTTCAGGTCTCCTAGACAGCTTCGCGGCCGATATGTGGGAGCACCACCACCAGAAGTTTTGCAAACAGCCATTCCTGTCGTCGAACAAGTGCAAAGCTTCGTTTCAAATGGTGAATTATGTGTGACGGGCTGTCACATTCGACGGCGACATCGAACGTGCACGAAAACAGAGGAAGAGGACAACTGAGAATTGGTCGCCCATCATGGAGTGCTTGGCAAGCGGAATGAACACACTTACCGCACGCGACACTGCGAAGTTGCATCTTCGATTTTTCCCCTGCGAGAATGCGGTATTCAATGGAAACGAAGGTGTGACGGGAACCGCCAAAGCGATATTGAATGCCCTCCCTTGCAAGGACTTGTTTCGAAAAGCTCTTTGCACGTACATGTCGGAAAACGGGTGCAATCCACCGCATGAGGACATGTTAATGCGCAMAAGAMCGCWTCTTSCCATCGCAGCAACCGCCGATGGAACAACCAGGGGGGCACTTGTGCAAATTGCGAGGGCTTCACCCAACTTCCACGGGAGAGCGGTGCACAATGATGTTGCTGTGAGGGCACAGACAGGAAGTACGTGATATGCATTAGTGGCAATGTTTTTTGTCATGAACACCTGTACGGAAGAAATGTACATCCCTGATTTCGTTGTTTTATTAAGTTTTCCCCCGGACTTTTATTGAATGGCCATTTAACAAAGGTGTTGAGTATTTAATTAAGGTTGGTTGGACAGAAGGTTTGGGGCTTGCATGGCTAAAGCGAGGGGTATGAGTGTCGAAGGTGGTTGGGGTTGACTCCGTCTAGTGTGTGGGCTGTTGATTTGGTTCGTTGATGTGATGGCAGGTATATGCTGTGAATCAGATTCTGGATTTGGTTGCCTACGATCACACGTATACGTATTATTGTGAGAGACCCCAGCGAAACCATGAGAAGTGATCGTCACATATTTAACCCTTATATATGTATACATGGGTATACTTGGGATGAATGTCTGCATGGGTTGAARARCCCCYACATTAGAGCCCGCTCAGAAGCTGAGACTGAGGGGCTTAGGGGAGGTCTCTCCTTTTATTCTTGTCTCTTGCTTTTTGATGATTTTCTTAGTCGGACGTTTGGTCCTTGGCCGGGATTCGAGGTCCTTGTCCAGGACATCCCAAGCCCTAGGCTCTGCAGGGGAGGGGCTTTCCCTCGCGAAGAGCCTATTTGATTTACCTACCGAGACACTCAGGTCGAGAGCCTAAGGTGCAGCGGCTGCTGCACGATTTTTCCTTCAGCCGTACAATGTCGTGAAGGGTTAGGCCCTCACGACACTTCAAGTCTGACACTTGAGTGTCATAAGCGGTACTCGGATCCATGAGGGACCGCTTGATTATGGGCACTACATAGTACGCCATCGTTGCGACTGCTTGTGTATGCCTGCATTGCAAGTCGACGTAAGTATGCCCTGCGTCCGCGCGGTTTTATACTAAGTTCAGCGCGCGACGCCTATCCGATTTCCGCACTAGAAAGTTATGGGTTGGCTACCGAGGGGCTAGGAGCGTTGTTGCGTTGTTGGTATTGTGTCGTTTCGTATATATGTTGTTTTGTGTGTATGTGTGTTCGTAAAGTGGAGTGCGCGTGATGTGTGGGATGCGTTCTAGTCGACCGACGATGAGTTGCGCTTGGGACCTCAGCCCCCCCAAGATGTCGGTTCGCGTGCGGGTCCGATAGAGGCGTATTACCGCGCGTACCCCCTATGCTACAGCGAACGAGAAACGCCCTCGGCTGGTCCACCTCTGCGATTGCAACTGATTAGCTTTCGTACTGTGGACAAGTAGCTCGGCGGGGATACGCCCACCGAAGGGAGGTGACAACTCCCGTAAGGTGTAGGTAAGTCGTGCCTCGCGTAGGCCCTATCCTGTCGTAGGGGCTCGCGAGAGGTATGGTTGGCGCACCCGGCCGGAGCAGCTTGTGGAAGCTCCATGTATATTGCGACGAAGGGTTCTAAAAACCAACTCTTGCGTGACGCGGCCGGGAGGGTCCCGCGCTGCCCCCGTGCAGTGCCGGACCGATGCGCCCGACAGGTGGCGCCGTTGCCGGGGATAACGGAAAGCCTACCGTTGTCCCTGGTGGAACGACATCCGGGTATGAGAAGTAAATAAGAAAAGGCATAAAGGAGTGATGAGAAAGTAATGAAGGAATATATGAATGACTAAGTGTAGGTGAGGAAATTTACCTACCCAAGTAGAGGAAGTATGAGGGACGATCGTGTTAACATTGGGTAAAAGTAAGTACCAAGGGTTAGGTAGGACGGATGGAATAGACCGGTGAAGGTATAATGTTGAATAAGGGGATGTGCTTGTTTTCTTTTGCCAGGGAGCTTAAAAAGAAAAGGCTGTCAAGATGCCTGAGACTGGCGGCGCATCAGTTGTTCCCAAGAAGGGTCTGACACTCGATGACCTCATCGCGACCATCGACTGACATGAAAGGAACCCGAGCAACATCCCAAAGGTCGATATTTTCCATTTTTGTGGGGAGAGAGTCTCGGAATGGCTAGAGCGGGTGGAACAAGCTTTGGTCGGCCGGCCGGATGTTGTAAAGTTTCAACGCATCCTTCAGTATGTTCTCCACAGCTACCATCAGGAGATGAAGAAAGTCATAGATGCGGCTCAAGGTAGCTGGGAGAGGTTCAAGGAGGGGATGCAGAGGAAATACCGCCTGGGAGACGGGTTGTTGACTACCACGGACCTTGAAGCGATGAACAAAGAGGATTTTACGGCTATAGGGGCCTTTGTTTAAGAATTTAAGAAGAGGGCGCGGAAGGTCCATGGGATTTCGGAGGAAGCACAGTGCGCCATCTTCCTGGGGCTACTCACAGCATCGGAGGCCGTCGAATTGACGAGACATGGAGGAGGTAGCACTAAGCTCACCTGGGCCACCATTGACAGAGGGGTGGAAGTTGGGTGCTTGGACCAGGTGGAACAACGTCAGGTACGCCTGCAAAGATAGAAGAGAAAGGAAAGAGATGCGACTGCTTCTGGGACCCCAGGAGTAACAAGGATTGTTACAGACGTATTGGCACAGCTAGGGTATGCGATAGAGCCGGTGGTGCAAAGGAGGGTGGTGACGGCTGTTAAAGTAAAATGAAAAGAGCCAGTGATAGAGGAGGCTCGTCAGGAGGAGCTCTGGGAAGAGGAAGAGCCCGTGTCGCAGCACCTGACGAAGGTCCAGCGCAAAGTGCGTAATTTGGCGCAGGGTAGACAGGGATCAGGAAAAGCGCAGGCGCATCAGGCCCAGGCAGCAGCCCCTTTAAATGTGGCGGCTCCATCATCTACTACGGGCCCCTCGCAAGGTGGGGCGCCCTCCTATGGACAGTGGCCTTGGCCGGTGATCAACGCAATTGTGCCATGGGGAAGCACGCCGCCAGTAGCCGGACCGCAAACGAGTATGCCACCACCCATCTACCCCGCGGCCCAGGCCCAACCTGTGGCCCCGCCACCGTCACCTGATCCCAGTTCACAGGGCAGTGTTGTAGGAGGTGGGAACCAGGGGCAGGGCAATCAAGGCAGTGAAGGGAGGGGTGGAGGAAAGGGGCGAGGCAGGAATGGCCAAGGTCAGGGGTACCAAGGCCAAGGGAGTCAAGGCCAGGGGTACTAAGGCCAAGGGAGTTAAGGCCAGGGGTACCAAGGGCAGGGCTATCAAGGTCGGGGGGATCAGGGAAGTCAGGGGTATGGAAGACCCCGCTTTGACTGGAGGACGGCTATCTGTCAACATTGTGACCAGCAGGGCCACACTATAAGGTTCTGTAATATAAGACGGGAAGACGAGAGAAGCGGACTGATTTCCTCTACTATGGATGGGAATATCTACGATCAGTTTGGGGAGACCATTGACAGAAGGCTTGGAAGAGTGAGGGCTGAAGCCCAACGAAGAGCGGCAGCTGGGCCACCACCCCCTGCCATGTTCAGGCTATGGCAGGAAAAGAAGAAACCACCGTTTGGGGTGGAAGAAGTGGGGAACGATAAGGAAGTGACTCAAGGGCTGCGAGGAGGAAGTGAGACGGAAGAGACCATAATCATCGAGTCCGATGACGAGGATGAGGAGGAAAGAACGGAGCCTCTGTCCGTCTTATTTGAGAAGATGGAGGACTTGCTGGATAAGATGGGGAGGTACCAACAGAAGTTGGTAGGCCTCTGTGAAGGAGTGAAAGGATGAAAGTCTAATGTCCCCACAGTATTCCTCTATGACTCCGGCCCGGAGTCAGCGCCTGGGCGACCCGGAGTAAATGTGGTGGGGTCGTGCCCTCAACC